ACTAATCCTTATCCTTGTCATATTTGTAGAAAAAAAACTTTGTGGATTTAGTTGTAAGGTTGATTTACTTTCTTCCTTCAAGTGTACAACTTCTTGACATACACTCTAAACATCTTTTATAGGTGTAGGATTAATATTTCTATAGTTGGCACTTGTAATGCATGAAATTTCTATCCTAAGAGTATTAATAAGCTCTTGAAGATTAACAATAGTTCAAATCTATTCTTACTTTTGTCAAGTATACCATATATGATATTTTTTTTTCTTTCAAACATCTTAACAAGTCTACAAGTCAAATTAAAATAGGATAATATACAACGTCTAATATCAAGTAAAAATTTCCATAAAAAAGAATAATCCGCTTTCTTTAAGAAAGATATTAGTATTAGAAAATTAAATAATTTATTTTAAGGTAGATAATCGATAGCTTTTAAAATACAATAATAGAAGTAGGATAATCTACTCACTTTTAAAATAAGATAAGAACATTGAATTGACACTCTTATCAAACTATCAAAGACATGAAGCTCAAAAAAAGAAATCTTGAATATACTTTTGTATCACTCAAAAGAACTAGAAAGTCACTCAAAGTCACTCAAAGATGCTTTGACTTTACATGTATTTATAATTGATTGGCAGCTTAGAAACTTGATCAATATATAAATTTCATGTTGATAGCTTGCAGAACAAGTTATTTATGTAGTACACATATAGAAAACTTGTCTTACAAGTTAAGATATGTATCTTGCAAAGTCAATATGTTTTGGAGGTCCTTTAAGTTACGACAATATAGCTCCTAATTAAGAATATAAATGGAGATGAAAGTGAAGCCTTCTTCACTCTTCTCAATGTCATTTCAGTCTTTAGTCTTGTTTTAAATCTTTCTAGTCTTCTTGTCTTTGACAATAATTATTCTAGTTTAATACTATGAAATAAATCTAGTTTTACTTACTTCAATTTAATCATATAGAAAAATATTAGAATAAATATGTATGTTTGTGACAATTCATTAAATGATTAAAAAGTCATATTTTTTTCAAATACACTTCCAAAGAAATAATAATTCTATCCTTCATAAACCTCTATCCTAGAATAAAAATAATATCTATAATCAATCTGCTCCAAACTCGTTCCAAGCTCAATTTGCACTATGTGCTACATTTGATACAATGATATTGTTGCTTCTATTTTTACTCCAAAAGTGAAATTCTAGATCCTTAGTTTGACTTCCTTAAACACTATTAGTATCACACATGCCACATAATAATGGCCCACAACCACCAAGATGTGATGTTTTCGAACATTGATTTTGCCCAACCTTCTAAGCAAATGGCATAATAATTACGCAATTATTATAGTCCAAAATGTTCAATGAATTCTATATCAATGATGATAAAAAGCAAAAGAGAAATACAAAAAATAGGAGCATGACATTCATCTGCATTAAAAACATGGAACATGCACCAAAAACAAACCAACAAATCTTGAGATGTAAGCATACTTAAGTAGATAAGAAGGTAGAAAGTGAGAAGGAGAAGAAAACTAAAGAGAGAAAATGTGAGGCATGCCAAAGACCAAGAGTAGAGTGCAATGAAACATGATACAAAAGGAAGATGAGAAACATGGCAAAAATATTGAATCAAGATACTTTGCCATCTTCCTTTTCAAAAAAACAAGAAGGGTTTTCTTTTGCAAGAGTAGAGAAATAGAATGGCTACCATGATTGTAGCAATGCTCAAGATTACAAATATGATGAATGTGGTTTAGTTTCATTCACTATAGATCTAGTAAGACAAAAATGATTCCAAAGATTTTTCTTTACTTTTTTTTCATCTTGACTGCTAAGGTGGGTGTGATGATTTGGCAAAACCTTGAGTTGTTTTGACATTTCATTGTATATGTTAATAAATATATATATACACACACAATAAAATAAATAAAAACATATACACACATAATAAAATAAATAAAAATATATACACATAATAAAATAAATAAATATATATACACATAATAAAATAAATAAATATATAGGCAAAGAAATATGGGTGCAAGGAGAAGGGAGTAAGTAGTGATTCGGAAAAATGCTAACTAAAATCTAGAAAACAAAACAGTCGAGCTCGGAGAATTGGAAGACTTAGTGGTCCAGAAATCTGTGATGGTCTATAGCACGATTCCGCACACGTCGCTCCACGAGTTCTGAGGACTAGATCTTCATAACCCATTCTCTGAGACAGGTACCGCTAATCACAGACTGTGCTCATGGATGATGCAAACATGCGCTGCGATCACAAACGAATCCAGCACCCTTAGTGATATGTGATCCAGCTCTTACATCGTAACATCCTTCAAATTTAGAGCGTCGACAAACCTATCGGAATAAGTGGTCCTTCAATATTCCGACATGGTCTACTCAGAAAATGAAAAAGCTCATTCAAAATGAATGTGAGGACTCATCAGGTTTGTCTTGGCAGTAATAAGTTCCTCACTTGTGAGGCATAATAGTTGCTAGAATAACACTACTTATTGCGTATACGGTGCACGTTCATCAGCATTTGGAAAATCATTATATAATGCAACTTGTGAAAGTGAGAAAAACGCCACCTCGTAGGGGTTTATGCTTAAGAATTAATGCACGACAGACCAAACCGCGAATACACGTGAGTGCCATCAGTATTGTACAATTCCTTTAGCATGGTTGTGAAAATCGAAAGCAGATGTAACTTGAACGTCTTGATCATTTTCAATACATGATCACACTCATACAAATTCAAAAACATTACAAATATTTGAGACACGTTCTGAAATAAAACAAGATTCAAATCAGAAACAATATTAATCTGTAATAAACTTGTCGTAATGTATAGATTTAATGGAAATGATTCCATTTACTAGGTTGTAAAAGCATAAGCCATCCATCCCAACCAAACCAACAAAACAAAGTGGAACTCAAATAGTGTAAAAAGTAGAGAAAGGGCAAATTTCATCACATGATTCAACAAACAACAATACAAACAAAATAAAAAGCGTCACGTCATAATTATACAAATCTTAAACACATTTATTGCATCAAGCTAAACTGAATACAAATAAAAAGCTACATGTTTGTGATAAATAGCAAATGCTGACCAAACGTAAAGGTGAGGTACCTATGCATCATGCTCATGACTTAAATACACTGGATGTACTGCAACACTTAAGAGAGGAAAAGTCATGTATCTAGCCCGTAAAAGACAGCAAAATGAAAATAAAAATAAAACCAACAAACAACAAAACACAACTACGCACTAAAACTTCAGAAAATTATCGAAAACAAAGCAAATTTGGATCATATGTTCATGCATGCAGTAACATCACCTAGCGCTTCCTTCAAAAATGACGGAAAAAAGTCCAAACATAATATTTTTGGGTACAACCAACGAGAAAAAAAAAGTAGTTGAACCATCAACAACAAAGAAGATAAAATACACACGAGGAAAAGAATCTTACTAAAATGATCTATGACAATAACTAAGAAGAAAAACATAATGAAGAATGACCAAGATATTCCCAACGAACTCAATTCGCCATTATTTCTAGAAAAGCTACACATTATAACAAATTCGAACAAACTGCTTAGAATCTAGAAACCCAGAAGAGAAATAAAAGCAAAAAACAGAACAGTAAATAAAACTGGCAAGAATGGTCTTGAAAAACGAAGCACGAACCATGCCCAGAGAATAGAATCCAACAAGGGGGATTCCAGGCCCTCGCGGTTGAAACCCACAAAATCATTCCGAGGCCACGCCATCGGGAACGGCGGGACTGGAAGTATCTTCCAACTTAACCGCGCTTTTGTTGAGGCTTTCATGTTATTCTCTGTGCGGTCTTGCCGCTTTGAACAGCGAGCCATGCAAGCTTCCTCCACTTGGATCTGACATGACACGGAACACTGTTTGATTGTGATGATGATGGTACTTAATATCATATCCTACCACCGGTATGAATTTCGTACACTCGTCCATGGAATGCCCGCGTGCCCAACAATCTCGGAGCGGAAATGTGCAGCAACGGAGAGACAGAGCAAGGGCATCCGGGATTGCACACAAGAATTGCACACACCATTGCGGCGCAAGGCTAAGGGCCTCGCCACAAGGTCTCGTTGCCTTCCCGGACAATGCACTGCAGCGCACCATGATTCAGCGCAAAGGGTGCCGCGCGGTGCTTGAACAGCACGGCGAGGGGACAGTGAAAGGGGCCATCGCAGTGCAGCCCACGGACGCAAGAGCGAACAGGGATGGAAACGAAGCAAGAGCGAAAGGGACAAGAAAGGCTGGCATGCGGGAGTGGCAGGACGGGACAAAGCGATGGATGGCAAGGCGGGGGACGGAGCACTAGACGGGGAGGGACGAGGGACCGGGTTCAAGAGAAACCAGATTAAGGAAGGAAGGAAGGAAGTCAGAATGGCGGGGAGACTGAGCAGACGGCGGCTGCGATGCGAGATTGCGCGGGACGCGGCTACATCGGGGCCGTCCAGGGAATGAGGGGGGGGGGAGGGAGGCGACGCAGGCAGGCAGGGCAGGGGAGCGAGCAGCTGGGGCCGCACCGCGACGGGCACGATGAGAGCGAGGGCAGGAGAGCGGGGCATCGTGGCCGGCCGTCCGTCCGTCCGTCCGTCCAAGGGTGGAGCCCACACGCACTGAAGCCCCCCTTCGTATTCCTTCCTTCGCCATCGTCGCCTTTCCTTCCTTGATGCGGGGGTCGTTCCGCCACTTCTTCGCTGGCTCGGTCGGGGGCGGGGGCTGTGAATGAAGCGCCGCCTGTCTCCGACTACGCCTGCGACGAACCTCCTCTCTCTCTCGATTGTCCCCCTCCCCCCCTTTCCCTTCCCTCCCCTTCCCCGCCCCATCCCCCCTTCCTTCCTGCATGGGATCGTCACTCCGTCCGCCACCCTAGCTCGCCCTGACTGCAGGTACTCACTCCTCTTTCTCCTCCTCCTCCTTGTCCCCCCCCCCCACCTCCTGCCCTTCGCGTGTGCAATTCTTTTTTCTGTTGGCTGGGTGTCGCTTTTCCAACTGCGCTGGGTGCGAGGGTTTGGGGTTTGGGACCGCGGGGTGTGGTCGGAGTCCGCTTTGGGAATGGGCGCGGTGGTGTAGAGCTCGGTTGTCGGTTGTGTCGGCGGCTGTGGCTTTGGATGGATGCGTGGGGGATTGTTTTATTGGAATTGTGTTTTGGTTTGCCGGTTGGTGGTTTTTTACATTTTTATGTAATTTTTTGTCATGCGGAGAGATTTGTAGGCGACGGTGTTAGGGTTTTGGGCGAGAGAGTCGGGTGGGTTAGAGTTTGGAGTCGTGCGTTGGAGAGATGGCGAGGGTTTGCGTCGAGCTGCAATGCGGCGGCGGATGATGTTTTAGTAGGCGGAGCTGGTGCGTGGTCCGCTGTGGTTGGGCGTGACAGGGTTTTGCAGATTCTGCCGGAGCGCAGAGTGCCATGATTCGGTGAGGTGATGCGAGAGGTCACGGGTTAGTTGTGTCGCAGATATCCGGAAGCTGCGTCGTCGTCGTCGTTGTTAGAGGAGCAGGTGAACTGCGTGCTGCTGGGGAGTTGTGGGTGACGTGACAGTTTGGACCTGGAACAATACGCGGTGTGTATGACGAAGTTATGTATTCCTTATCACTGTGAGCTGGCGCTGCAGGCATCGGCCGAAATTTGTTGCAGGAAGTCGATACGAATTGTTGTGGAACGAGTTAGTTGGCAGGGGTGGTGTCGCCGAGGTGGGAACGTGCGATGGGATGGTTTATTTTAGAATGTCTTGTGTACCAGAGCAACCGAGAATGTACAGGCGAGGGAGGTTTCTTTCCCCCGCCCGTCTTGGGGGCCTGGGTATCAGTCGGCACGGTTTTATGCTTTTCGGACGTTGTCCAGTACACGAGGACATTGTGGAAGGATGGTGATGATATTCGCATGGGAACGTAGCGGGATGGAGGTTTGTGACACATGAAAACTGATTTGGCGGGGTTGGTGTGGAATTTGCAGGGTTTGTGCAGAGGAATTAGTTTCGGCTGGAAAATCGGGGGTCTTCCTAAAAGTTTGGGAATCGCAGATTTATTGGCTTAGTGTCTGAAGCGGGGTGGTCGTAGAGGATGATGCAGTCGCCAGCAGGGGCCGGGCCCCCGCATGGGCAGCAGGCAGAGGGGCAGCAGCAGCAGCCGCAGCAATGGGTGATGATGCAACAGTCGGGGATGCAGCCTCAGCATCACGAGGAGGTGAAAACGTTGTGGGTTGGAGATCTGCAGTACTGGATGGACGAGAACTACTTGCACACAGCTTTTGTACACACCGGAGAGGTACTTGTGTGAGCAGCTTTGGTGCCTCCGAGGGGGGGGGGTATAGGTTTGTGTGGGACCGTGCGTTTCGGGGCGCTGTTGGTGTGAACATGGTAGGTCGTGTAGGTGTTGTGGATGGTGTTGCATGATGATGCGATGGCAGCTTTGCGAAGTTAGAGCGGCTGTGGAGTGGAGGGAATGGATGGAGGATTGTGGGGATCGCATAGCAGAGCACAATGAGATTACATGTTCCAGAGCGGGCAGGATGGGTTGGGAACAGGCGATGGCATGCTAACGGAGGGTGGGAATGGTTGTTGCAGGTGCAGTCTGTGAAGATCATTCGCAACAAGCAGACGGGGTACTCCGAAGGGTACGGGTTCGTGGAATTTGTGTCTCACGTGGCAGCGGAGAAGATTTTGCAGGCTTACAACGGCACTCAGATGCCGAACACAGAGCAGCCTTTCCGGCTGAATTGGGCTTCGTTTGGAATAGGGGAGAGGCGGCCGGAGGCGGGACCGGAGCACTCGATCTTTGTAGGGGATTTGGCTCCCGATGTGACGGATTACATGCTGCAGGAGACGTTTCGCACCCGGTACCCATCTGTGAAGGGTGCGAAGGTGGTGACGGACGCCAACACAGGTCGATCGAAAGGATACGGGTTCGTGCGTTTCGGCGATGAGATGGAAAGGAATCGGGCGATGAGTGAGATGAACGGGATTTACTGCTCGAGCAGGCCGATGCGGATCAGCGCAGCAACGCCGAAGAAATCGCTGGGCCCTAATCAGTTGAATCCGAAAGGTGCGTGTACGCGGAAATCGGGGGTGTTGGGTGTGTTTGCGCGTGGTGTGGTTGAGGTTGGTGTGAGGCCGATGCAAGGGCGGGGTTGTGGGTTGGGTTGTGATTTGATGGGCGTCTGGGGAAGTAAGGACGGTGAAACGCTATGGCGAAAGTTGCAGTTCCGTATCCAATGCGGTGAGAGCATGGTGGGATGAAGGTTGAGTGAAGGTCGTGTAGGTCAAAGTGATGTGTGGCGGGTAAGCTTATTCGTCAATAATCTGTGTCGGAGCAGGAGGGCAAGAGGCTTGCTACCAAGGGTGCCTACAAAGAGAACCCGGCAACTGGGAAAGGACCGTCAGTAGTGAGTGGGGCGTGATTTAGGTCAGTGTCCGCTGTTTGCACGTTTTGCTGCTGCGTTGTGTGGTTGATTGTGTGTGGCGTTTCTCCATGTGGAGCATGGTTCTTTGTTCGTTTTGTTGGTTGGATTGTTTGTCGGTATGATGAGTTATACTCTTTGTCTGCGTCTATCTTTGTTGTTTGTAATGCATGTTGGTCAGTGCGTTGGGGATGGCCGGTGGGTGTCGTGACGGTCCTGTTAGTGGTGTTGGCCGGAGTTGGCGGGTAGTCTATGATGCGTGTGTCGGACGTCGTGACAGGACGCTTGTGCCGGTTTTCATGTTTGGGGTGGGTAGTTCTTATTCCTGTGGCTCCCAACCGGGGTTACGCCGCGGTTGAGGGAGCTCCGTGTGGTGTGTAGTTATTCGTACGTATGAGCGTCGAGCAAGGTGTCAGATATGAGAGGTGTGATTGTGATGCGACGTTGGAGCCCCGCTGGTAGGAGGGTGGTAGGTGTAAGGCGTGGGTGTGGGTTTGGGGAGTCGTTTGTAGAGTCCATGGGGGTGAGAAGTGAACGTGAGTGCGCGGTGGATGATGTGAGGCGTATAGTAAGATGGGTGCAATGTGGAGGATGCGGTGAGTATGTGTGTGGCGTTGACGTTGTGGTGATCGAAGGGGTAAAGCTTGGGTTGTAGAGTGTGGCAAGTTGGTGAGTGGCATACGATAGGCGGTGCATGGCTGACGGCGATGTGTGGTGGTTGATTGAGTGGACGCAGTGTCTCCCGTAGCCGTGGCAACATATGCAGCATACGGAGCGCAGCCCTCTCCGCAGGCGTTCCCCACAGACAACGACCCCAACAATACAACCGTAAGGCATCGGTACTGTGTGTGTGTGTGTGGGCCCTGCGTCTGGTTTTGTTGTGGAGCTGGGGCGTTTGTGATTTCTTTGGTGATTAAGCGATCATGATTTGAGATGCGGTGTTGGGACGCAAGTGCGACGAGAATGTGTGGGCGGGCACGTTCTCCGGGATGAAACGTTGTGAAGGATAGAATACGTTGAGATGTGGAAGATGGGTTGGTGGTTTAAGGTAATGGGTGTGGTGCGGTGGATTTGCGTTGGTAGATATTCGTGGGAGGACTTGACCCAGCGGTTGGGGACGAAGACTTGAGGAACGTGTTTGGGCAATTTGGAGAACTGGTGTATGTGAAGATTCCCGCCGGGAAAGGATGCGGGTTCGTCCAGTTCACGCATAGGTATGCGTGAGCGCCTAGGAGCACTTGTTTATTGGCTATTTTGGGGCATGGATTTTGTTGGTTGTTGTTCGTGATGGATGGCGTGAGAAGGCGCGGTCGTTGGCGGATTTTGCTGCCCACAAGGAAGCATTGATGATGATGATGATGTGCAAGTCGTGAGCGGAATGTATCCGGCAGTGAAAGCATGTAACAGGGGAATTTGATGTTGGATGCGTGTCCGTGCGGTGTTGTGTGTTGCAGAGCGTGCGCAGAGGAGGCGCTGCAAAGGCTTCACCAGACGGTGATCGGGACACAAGCAGTGCGTCTGTCGTGGGGTAGAAGTCCCGGGAACAAGCAGACGAGTGATGTAAGTCGCAGTCTGGGTTGGAAAGTGAAAGTTGATGGGTGACTGCGTGGGTTTTATGCGATGCGACGGCGGGGTTGTGGAGTGTTGGGTTGGGAGATGAATCACGTGGGGGTGATGGGGCTTTTGTTGATAGGAGGAGTATTTGCTGACGGGGTGGGTGGTTTGTTTTGGTTTTGTGTGGGCAGCCTGCATGGGGGCACCACCAAGACCCGAATCAATGGAATGCAGCTGGGTATTACCAAGGGTATGCACAAGGGTACGACCAATACGGATATCCGGCGCCGGCACCTCAGGACCCTGCATACGCTCAATACGGGAACTACCCCGGTTATGGGAACTATCCCCAGCAGCAGGTACGCCGGAGTTTCTTTTGGGGTGCCGTTGAGTTTGGGCGTTGATGATTTGGTTTGTGACATGGTGAATTGTAGAGTATGCAAGTGAGGTAGTTAGTGAGCGGCAATGTTTGAGGATGGAGGGGCAAGGTGGTTGTGGTTGTGCGGGAGGGTTGAGGTGTGGTGGAGGTCGTGGCAGTGGGATCGAAGTTGGGTGAGTGTTGGACGGTAGGGATGTGTGCATTTTGTGGGGGTTGTGAAAGTGCGGGCGACAGTAGGTTGAGAGGTAGGAAAAGGGTAGGGTGATAATGTGCGTGGGAGGCAGGAATGAGGAGGGAGTGTGGCGAGGGGGTGGAGAGGCGCAGAGTGGGTTTGTTTGGGTGTGGTTGATGTTGGTTTGATTGTGATAGTGGATGATCGTGGATGATGATCTGAGGCTGGGTCTGCTGTGGTCGTATATTACAGTGAAGGGTTCAGCAACTGTGAGAAGTGAATTCCCGCCGGAGCGTTTTTGGCGTGTGACAGTGCAGAATAGTTGTCGAAACGTGGAATGCCTTTTTACCTTCACATTGACTGACGGCAAGGCAGTAGATGTTTCAAGTTTTGCAAGTCGTGAGATGCCGAGCCGAAGCTGGTTGTGCAAGGCCGTCGGAGAGCTTTTTGTATGTTGACGTAGCCTTGCTGGGCATGGTTAGACGCGTTGAGTTAGGTGTAACGTCTGTACGGAGTTTCTCCTGAGCAATGAAAAGCTTGAACTGGTTAGTCGATAAACGAGGGACCGGGTCCGCTGGTTTTCCACTTGTATTGATAATTGAGACGCAACATGAAGAGAGGTTTTATTTTCATCCCTTTTGGTGTTGGTACTGGCTGTTTGATTGCGTGGAAGTGATGGTGGCAAGGTGGACGGTGCACATGTTTGTTGATGTTGCGTGTGGAAGGTTGGATGTTGAACTTGGTGGTATGTTTTGCGTGCAAGTAGGGGTGAGGGGGTGTAGTGGTGTAGGAGTGAGATGATCACCGGGCAGAGGCCAAGGTGGGAGAGGTGGAGATGAGGGAGGTGTATGGAGGCCTCTTGTTTTTGATATTCTGGGTATCGCATATGCGCGAACATCACCATGGTTTAGGGTGACGCACAGGCTTCAGTTGCTGTAAGCGCCGTGCCTAGCGTGGAGCACAAGGAGGAGGAGAGTTTTGACCCTTTGGCCCCGCCCGACGTGGACAAGTGAGTGCTGGTTCCCGTCGTTGGTTGCGTTGTTTGATGGTATGCGTGTGAAGCTTAGGTGGTGTGGCATGTGAGTTAGGTGAGACATGAGTAGCGGTGGTTGTGGTGCGCACCGAATTGGCGGTGCACTTTGGTTCGTATGGGACATGGATCACGGTGGTGTTCTGCGGTTGGATGTTTGTGTGGGAGGAGTTTCTGACGGTGGGAGCGGATGGTTGCAGGTTGAACGCGGCATACATGGCTGTACACACAGCCCCTCTGCTGGGTCGTCATTTGTGGCTGAAGACGTCCGATCACGGCCAAGCGCCCATCAGCTAGTTTTAGGTGGTTTTCTTTTTCTTATTCTTTTTTTTTTTTTTGGGGGGGGGGGGGTAGGGGAAGGGGGTTGGGCGTGTACACGAATGGTGACGTGGGTGCGTGCACATGGGTGGCCAGTTGTAGATGAAATTCAGTTACTGAGACAGAGGCAAAAGTAGATTTACGTTATCTTATTTTATTTTTTTCTTCAACAGCACTCCCCAAGTTGAAAAGCGGGAGCATACCCAAGTTGATAGATGGTGCACATGTGCTGTGTCCGATGTGTTAAAGCGGATGGCTCCCAAGGTCCGTGTGTGCATGCATGGGTGGATGCGTTTGGAATGGTCGCATTTATGATTAGTGTTGGTGATGTGGTGTGACGGCGGTAGGGGAGAGAATGCATGGCGGTTGTGTTGTGTGTGGTTTGGGATTATTATTGGACTTTCAAGTGCCGAACTCGATGAATGTTTAAGAGGATAATAGGCAATGGTTGCGAAGAATTCAATGTCAGACGAAGTGAAGTGTAGACTCTGTCATGTTCATAATAGTAGGTAACAATTAGCAGTGGCTTGATTCGTACGTTACACCGTGATTGTGGAATCTGGAATGGACCTGCTCCTTCAACTTTTAAAGCATGCCTAAGTTGTTGTTTGTAATGTTGTGTTGTGTTTATATTTAGTATGTTGAAATTTGTACATTGAAGCTCAGTCTGATGGTTGGTGTGGTTGTGATATGTTGAATTTGGCAACCTTCTAGGTGAGTTGTCATGTATGCCCGAAGGATTAAGACGGTGATTCGTTTTTCCTGCTTGTGGATTGCGGAATTTGGTGGACGTCTGTACAATACTCCAGCTGCCAATGAAGTTGCGATTTGGATAGATGGCGAACACATTTTTGAGCGTTATATAGGGTATATGGTTTTACAGTATCCATTGCTCTATTTACATGGTAAAGATGGTTGGAATCATAACATTCCTCTATAAAAACATCAACCATGTAGGTGATGACAAATAGTTAGGTGAGGAAGGAGTGGCCACTCATGTACAACAATGTAACAATCACAAAATTATATAATTAATGCTTTTAAATCAAAGAGTTTAATATTAGTACATTGGTAGAATTAAATCACATTTGTGAATAATTTATTGTCAATGCATATGTTGTAGAATAAAGTTGTATAAAATATGATTGATACAATTTAAAAAAGCTATGTCCTAACCTTTGTCAAGGTCTTCATTACATGCTTGTTGTGGGAGATACCAATGTTGCTATTGTTAGCCAATACATTATTTTTATTTTATTTTATTTTATTGGCAAAGCCTTAAATGTGGCACAAAAATATGAAGATGTTGTGACAATCTTTTAATAAAGGAGGAGGGAGGGGAACAAAGGGATGTGCTATCTAGATATCTTTTTAACCTTTAAATGCAATGTGCTATATAAAGAAATAAAGCAATTACTATTTTTAGTTAGGAAGGATAGGACTATCCATAATTAATATTTAAGGGTTTTCAAATTCAACTTCGGTCCTTTTATAATATTTAATAGAATTGGGATTTTGTGACACTTTATAATTGGGCTCATTGAGCTTAAAAAGATAAAATACTTGCATCTTTGTGATTCCTTTAAATTTATATGGGTGAAAGAATAAGTTGCCAATGATATCTCTTACAATCAATTTGTTGGTGATAAATTCCAAAAACCCAACTTTTCAAAACGTACATCTAAAGTATTGAAAAATAGAGTTAATTGCTTTGAAAAACTCTTGCTTCTTTGAAAAACTCCTCTTTTATTGACAACTTCACTTTTTCATATGCTTTTTATTTATTTAGGTGTTGATGGAAAAAGTATTGCAAATAATATTTTTTTTGGAAGTTCTAGAAATACCTTGCTTGGTCAGCTGCCTTTCTCTTCACTACCAAACATGATGCAAAAGCATTGGACTTTACTACATTGCTGATACGATTAACACTTCACAGCCTTCTTTGATTGTTTCGGGGGCTTGATGGACATATAAATACACTGGCGTTACACACCTTCAGTGGCAGGATTTCATTTAACAATTTAAAGAGTTTTATTGTGAATTCTCTTGAATATTGAGGGCTAGCCAGGTGTACTTTTATGTGCGTTACAATACCATATTCTCGCACAAGCTCAATTACACTCGATTCTGTGCTCTGCAGGTTGTTTATAGAATATTTTCTTAATTTTTCCGTAATTAGGGACCAAGTCCTTAAGGGATAATGTGTTATTGTATTTCGTGTAGCAGAAGATGATACATTTAAGTGCAATTGAACCGCTACGGTAGGTTTAAGCTGGATACCCGTTCGAACAATGCTGGATGTTATATGACATGAAACAGCGGCTAACAATCACATCCGGGCCAATGAATGGCTCACTGATAACTGACGTAAGAACTAAAGAAGCATATTTTGAAGGCTGTGGTATCAAACAAAATATACAAGTTAATTTGTACGTTATAGGTCTCAAAAGTATAGTAAAACTAATGTGGCAACAAAATAACACTTAAGTTCTAGCAACTTGCTGCCACTGACGCCAACCAAAAAAACAAGGCACCTCGTGTGCAAGTAATTCCATTCCAACTAACAGTCAGGGTTGACACTACAAAACAGATAAAAAAATCAAATAACTCACGCCAAAAGTCAGCTTTGATTTCATTTATACTGGCTACACATCGTGACTGGCAGTTCCATACAACCACCTCCGTTCACTCTCCATCCTATTAGTGAAAAACGTGATCGGACAAGCTCGATATTTCACCCTGTGCGCTTTATCACCGTCGACGTGGTCCTCTCGTCATCATTGGTGTAGATGGACACTCCACGGCCAAATGTCCTCGACCTCCACAATTATTGCAGATTACGACCTGGAAACAACAGGTTAAAACAACATCCAGTCCAACTACTACACTAGGTTTGCCGAGTCACATACCAAACTCAAAAAGGAGACATATACCTCCCCTGAAAGTGCTTGCAGCATGAACCAAACCAAATGTCACTTTAAATGTTGGAATGAACTCCAGTCGAATTTTAAAAAAGAGGACCGATATTTTTTAGATCAAAAGGAGCAGAATACTCTAGTATCATACCTGCAAGCATTCTTTGCTTTTGTGGCCACGTTGGTGACAATTATGACAAACCATATCACTCGGATTAAAAGTAGATGCAGGCCCTCTGAGAGGAGGAGGGGTGGTGCCGCTCAGAGGACAATCCCGTGCAATATGACCTGGTTGGCTACAGACATTGCACACAGGACTATTGATACAATCTCGTGCCAAATGTCCAGGCTGACGACAATTATTGCACGCTTTCTCGTTGGGGCAGTCCACAGCAAGATGTCCTGGTCGATAACAATTGTTGCACAGCCATGCTTTGGGAATCCCTCCTTCCTGCACAACACAACCCTTGGCTAGATGTCCAGGCTTTCCACAGTTGTTGCAGATTGGCTCACTCCGGCACTCGCTTGCGATGTGTCCTGGCTTCTTGCAGTTCCGGCATAATGGCTCCACTGGACATGCTGCAGCAATATGCCTGCAAAAATACAACTATAAAAACGAGTATCTTTCTGATTGTAAATATAATGAATCAGCAAATGCAACATCATTAGATTCTGCAAGCTAGGGAAGTAGGATGGTTCATCTCATGTCGACGATTTCTCAACTTCTTGACAATGACCCAAGTCAAAGACACCACTATAAGTATGTATGGACTGATAAGGTATACATTCTTCAGTCTATTCAACAAAACAAAGTCACGAAAAGATTCTCTCATCATGACAAAGATCGCAACAGCATACCCTGAACCTCCACAATTGTTACACACTGCTGCATTGGGGCAATCGCGAGCAAAGTGCCCTGTGCGCCTGCAGTTGTTACACAATTCTGAAGCTGCACCCCTGTCCAAAAAAGCATAGAATCAAAAGGCTGAAATCAAGCCTGCACACAGAATCAAATGCTCACAATGAAAAGCCTAGCAACGCACATTAAAGGAGCCGAATGAGTATCGACAAACATTCCAAGTACTGGGGAGTAGGAAAACATGCTATACTTTTCACCCTAATATCCATCAAACAAATTCAGGGACAGTATGAGAGAGATGGATTTAAGCTGAACCACATCCACTCCTAATTGAGTTCCCCCAGTGTAGCCTGTGGCACTCGCCATGTTTAAACTGAGAGGCATGGCCCGCAATCCTCAAATTGTCCACCGTAGGTACCACGAAGCAATAAGACATGGAATGTCAGCACGGATCCCGTGCATTAACTGCTGAGCGGAACTCAGAGGAATTTGTTTTAGTCACTACCCACCGAATCACCACCACCACCACCACCACCAAATACCTTTCCCAACCCTTTAAAACTTCAACACTTCAGTCCTACCACACCACACTCCACTTCCACCTCAACATTCACACAACCCCCGCCTCAGCCATTCCAAAATCATCTGTACACTTCACCATCCCATCATACAAATCTCCCTCCCATCTTTATCTCCTCAAAATCTATCACGTCCTTCACATCCTTCATCCAACACCTCTGCCCACACCCCCACACAAGCCGAGTGACAACAACTCTCCAGTTCTCCCGACATGCCATTCGTCCAACAACCCAAATTTTCTATCTCCACCCTTCAAACCAACCCTACGTAATACGAACCCTCCCTTCTTTCCAACATGTCATTCGTGAACCGCCAACCAAAACTCCTGTCTTCGACCTTCATATAAAGCCCAATAACTTCTCTGTGCTTTCCAGAACCAGAAACTTCAAGATTTCCAGAAGTCCAAAACGTATCCTCGAAAAAGCCTCATGCTTGCGGCTTTGCACAAAGGGACGAAGTTGAGGCAGCGCGAAAGTAAATGCATCACCTGGAAGGCCCCGATCGCGGGCCATACCCGTTGCCCTCTCGCGGGTTAAAGACCTTGTAAGGACTGCTTCGGCGGAAGGTACGCTTCCCTACTATCCCACTCTGAATCCGGCGGCCTCCCCCGCCCCGAGCCGTAAGATCATCTAAACTCATTCCTAACTTCGTCTGAGTATCCAACGCAGACATTCACACTGCTTTTAACGAACTCCGGTTGGTAAGACGGGCCCTGACTTCCTTCAGCTTCTAGCTCCTGTAGTCAGACATGTTAGCAAAATCGAGACAAAAGAGTCATATGTAGACGCCTATAAAGTCATGTTAAAGTGTGTATATATATATATATATATATATATGAAAATTATGCAATTTAGCATGACGCAAATTGCAGCAAAGTGATTCTCCAATTGCTACAAAATAGCGACAAAGACGCATAAGCTTAGCAGTTTTCAAGATACCGTCCTTGAAGTTCATTCGGTGGCAAGAGTCGGACCTAGCACAATGCTAAGTATAAGTTATCGAGAGGTAAAGAATAAAGTTGTTTACAACCATCACATTAACGGACTAATGCTGATGATCACATGGACACTAACACTGTACTCCATTGAACAATTAAATTGCGCAAATGTCTTAAAACAATTTCAGCAAAATGCGAAATGCACGACGGCAACGTGCTAAATCTCTAATCAATTCCAGACATCCCTAAAAATAGTTAAAATTAACAAAATATCAAAACTTACACATCATATGCTCACAACAGCACGGATACAACGTCATAGGACGGTGTATGAGAAAAGTACTATCATCCAGACTAACATTCCATGCCAGATATCCTTGTCAAAAAGAGATAGACAGAGAGAAAGAGAGAGAGCAAGGTAAAATTAAAATTAAAATTAAAATACCATTCCACGATCACTACTAAGCAATTCAATTGACGGTACTAAAACCAGGGAATATTACTGGTACTTGAGTAATCACCTCTGTAATCTTGAACCCAAATTGCAGACCACCCCCTCCTTTAACCCCTGCTTCGGAGGCAAGGGGTAAATAAAAAGAAAATGAAAATGAAAAATCGAAACTGCTCCCCAAGGCAATGCTTCCTGAGATCACGCTGCTCTTCTGGTTCGTATAAGAATCAACCTAGATCTCAACACCTACAAGTTACAAAATAAGATGAAGCCCTTAAACACCTGAAATGTCGAAACCCTACGAACTTGCGCGTGAACGACTTTGAAGGAGGCAGGATTCGTTGTAACGATCTCTTGAAATATGAACAAAAAAGAAACACAAGATAGAATGATGTGATGAACGAGAAAAGACGAGACAGTAGATAACACTTGCGAGTGAACGAGCTTGAAGGCAAGTTAACGGGAATGCTAAAGGAGTGCGGGAAGCGCTGGAGGCAATGCAGCAGAACACAAAGAGGGGAGAAGTTGTTGGCGAAACGCCGAGGGAGATGGTTAGGGCTTCGGGTTGATGAGCAGTTGCGCACGTCATCCTCTCCTCTTCATCCAACATTCATCCTCATATTCATCATCCAATACTTTTGCAACGACCATCGCTCTGCATTCATCCATGTACTCTACAATAACAGGCAGACTGTTGCGCTCGACGTATCTCTTTTCGAAAACCTCCACTTAACTTCAATGGAGTGGATTGTGTAAAAATTAAAAAATAAAATACTACCAATAAATAGAAATTAATATACATCTCTATACACAAATAAGAGTATGAAGCTTTGTGAAAAAGAAGGCCATTAAAAGTCATCTGTGTTACATCAATAATCAAGTATTGGTGATCAAACAATTAACCTAGTTTTTAAATACATGCCAATTTCTAATTTACCATGAGCATAAGTTTTAAATTCTTAATTAGAAATTCATTTGAAGGCTTTAAAGGCTATAAATGTAGATAAGATTTTACAAGGTAATATCTATTTTATTTGAGTTTTTTTCTAAAATTTTGACTTGTCTTAGAGGATTTACATATTTTTCACTCAATATTATATACAAGTTGTAATTGGTTGGCTTCAATAATTGAATTGGTTATTAGAACTAACTTTATAGTAATCAAAACCAATATTATTAGATCATACAAACATCATTAGCCATATATAATTGTATATGAGTTGATAAATTACATTTTGGACAATCATCTTATAAAACTTCAAGGATTAAATTGTAATTTTTTTAACCAATATTAAGAATTCACTAACAAGAATTATTTTGGTTAACTTGAAATGATTACATGTCCATATATATATCAAATGCCATTTTCAAAAAATATCATTTAAAAATCAAAATTAGAAAAATTTAGAAACTTTATTTTTATTTTTATTTTTATTTTCTTATGTGTAGATATATCTATACATAATATATAAAATTCTAAAAGTGAAAAAATCCAATATATCATAAAAAAATCCATTAAAAGTGTTTTTTTTTAACTACAATACATGTATACAAAAAGTGAACCCAACCAAAATCTTATACAACTAACAACAACACAAGAAACAAAAACTTAACAATAGTATAAAAGTTGAAGAAGAAGGTCCTTTCTAAATTCCACAAACACTAATGCTTGTTCAATAATAAGATATGGTTCACAATTGACACTGCATCTTTGGAAATGTACTTTATCAAAGTTGAATTCCACTTAGTATAGTCTCCATCACCTTAATCTTATGATGAAATATATCTTCAAGGTGTCAAGAATCTAGTGATCTACACCAAAGTGTATTGTAGGGCATGGAATCACCATAAATATAAATTTTAAGTCTTAAGTCTTAAAAAGGGTCTTGAAAGGAATTTTAGAAGAATAACTTGGATGTCCTTGACTTCCTATTGAAATCCACGTATATTTTACTCCAAATCCTAACATGGCTTATTTTTTTTAAGTTGAACCTTTAAAGGAGGAATTTAAGAGTTTAGCTTCTCTCATTGTAAATTAGCACACCTTCACGATATTTACATGTAACTTTATTAATTATATTTGTTGTAGAATTTTTTCTACTTATTTGTCTCTATTAGAGGTTTAATTCGCCTTGACTTTCCAAAAAACTTATATATATTAAGAGCTACTTATAATTTTTGTTTTAATGATGTATATCTGTGATAATTCCACCAACATCCTAAATGTCACAATGCAAACAATAAGTACTATCCAATCTGTATGATACAATATGTGCACAAATATTAGTCCACAACAAAGGCCTTTCTTGAAAAAATTATTCTACTCTCCAACAACAATAGTCCTTGAACACCCCTCTACTCTTTACAAAAATTAAACTTTAGTGAGTACATCAAATCTTCAAAAAAATGCTAATATTTGTTGAATTTCAATGAACTTTGCCTTAAAGAGACCTTAATATGCTACAAACAATACAATGTAGATCTTTTTATTTGTATTTCATGCTTTGGCGCAAAACATAAAGATGAATTTATATCACTTCAAGGACCAACAATCTAATTATCTTATTAATATAAATAATAACCTTATTGTATCAATAAATATTCAAAATGCCTACAATGATAAGCCTACTTATAAAAAATAACTATATAGTTTATTATAAAGTCCAAAAAAAAAAAAAAAAAAAAAAAATAGACATACTAAAAACCTAGCTTTTAAAAATATATCATCAACATACCAAATATGATACATCCCAAATTAAGCATATTTGAATACAATCAAAGCACCCAAGTCGAATTTGAAAACCCTTGAATATTAATTATGGATAGTCCTATCCTTCCTAACTAAAAATAGTAATTGCTTTATTTCTTTATATAGCACATTGCATTTAAAGGTTAAAAAGACATCTAGATAGCACATCCCTTTGTCCCCCTCCCTCCTCCTTTATTAAAAGATTGTCACAACATCTTCATACTTTTGTGCCACATTTAAGGCTTTGCCAATAAAATAAAATAAAATAAAAATAATGTATTGGCTAACAATAGCAACATTGGTATCTCCCACAACAAGCATGTAATGAAGACCTTGACAAAGGTTAGGACATAGCTTTTTTAAATTGTATCAATCATATTTTATACAACTTTATTCTACAACATATGCATTGACAATAAATTATTCACAAATGTGATTTAATTCTACCAATGTACTAATATTAAACTCTTTGATTTAAAAGCATTAATTATATAATTTTGTGATTGTTACATTGTTGTACATGAGTGGCCACTCCTTCCTCACCTAACTATTTGTCATCACCTACATGGTTGATGTTTTTATAGAGGAATGTTATGATTCCAACCATCTTTACCATGTAAATAGAGCAATGGATACTGTAAAACCATATACCCTATATAACGCTCAAAAATGTGTTCGCCATCTATCCAAATCGCAACTTCATTGGCAGCTGGAGTATTGTACAGACGTCCACCAAATTCCGCAATCCACAAGCAGGAAAAACGAATCACCGTCTTAATCCTTCGGGCATACATGACAACTCACCTAGAAGGTTGCCAAATTCAACATATCACAACCACACCAACCATCAGACTGAGCTTCAATGTACAAATTTCAACATACTAAATATAAACACAACACAACATTACAAACAACAACTTAGGCATGCTTTAAAAGTTGAAGGAGCAGGTCCATTCCAGATTCCACAATCACGGTGTAACGTACGAATCAAGCCACTGCTAATTGTTACCTACTATTATGAACATGACAGAGTCTACACTTCACTTCGTCTGACATTGAATTCTTCGCAACCATTGCCTATTATCCTCTTAAACATTCATCGAGTTCGGCACTTGAAAGTCCAATAATAATCCCAAACCACACACAACACAACCGCCATGCATTCTCTCCCCTACCGCCGTC